AGGGTCCGAATCTCTGCGGGGAGTTCGTTCCAAAGGGCCGGAGCTGCAACAGAGAAGGACCTCTCCCGGGTCGTAGCCAGATGGCATTGGCTGGTGGATGGAACCCGGAGGAGGCTAACCCTGTGCGATCTAATGGGTCTTTGGGAGGTAATTGGCAGCAGAGCCGACAAGAGTAATCGTGACTATGGTTTCTTCGGCTGGGGGGCGTTGATGGGCTCAAAGATGATGCAAGGCTGCTGGACAAAGACAGATCTGCATCACACCATAAACTACCTAGCGCTCAAAGGGGCACACTTAGTCCTTTGTCATTTCCAGCACGACTTGCAACATAAGCACGTTACTTCTCACCGATAACATCGCCATGAAGGCACATGTGAACAGACAAGGTGGGACTCATTCCAAGGCTCTGTGGACAGAGGCAGACAGACTGATCTTGTGGGCAGAGACACATGATTTCGATCATAGCGGATCACATTTCAGGAACTGCCAATCACCAGGTGGGCTGGCTCAGTCGAGCCACAGTGGACCACAGGGAGTGGCAGCTTCACCTGGACATTTTTCAACATGTCTGTCACAGGTTCGGGACTGGGATGATCGACCTTTTTCAGACTCTGGTGAATTCTCAACTACTGAGATTTGTGACCAGATATTGGACGTGAGGGGCCAAGGACACAGACGCGCTGAGATGCCGCTGGCCATTAGGCCTTCTATACACTTTTCCTCCCCTTCCCCTTCTTCCAGGGACCATCAGGAAGATAGTGTCAGTCTTCCGCTGGGAGGGGCTTGCTGATGGGAGCTGCTCATTACAGCTCCCGAATCCCTGATCACGTTATCTGTCGGATGACCAATCCATCAGACGTCTGACAGTTTGTTTACCTTTTCCTTCGGGCAAGAAGATAAGGTGAGCGGTTCTGCTGAGCAAAGTGCCATCTGACCCTTGCAGTTTGTTTCTGGGAGGGGGGGGAGGCCAGCTGAGGGCAGAATTGTCTCTGTGCTGGGAATTCCAGCTGCGATTTGCAGTGCGAAGCAAACTCTCTCTTCCTCAGAACAAAATTTGATTTACTGAGTCCAAGGCGGGCGGAACTGGTACACGTGAACCTTTAATTGTTTGTATTAAACCTTAGCTTCATTTTTACAAGAACTCCTACCGATAACTTAACTACTAAAGAGACAGTTAAAATGGCACCGAGCTGCTTCGTAACACTGTTTATGTTTTGAATTTCTACGGAGTTTTAAAACTTCAAAGGAAAGGAGT